CTTCTAGTGTTTCTCTATCCTCAGTGATAACAAGGACAGAAATAAGTCAGAAGATATTTCTGGGCACCCACACAAAACATGAAATACTTTTAATGCAAAAAGGACTTTATATGGTAATATGTTTTAACAAATGTAAATGTTTCAAGTTTCTAGCTACTTTCTTCAGCATGAAATGCAGCCTTTCAAGAACTCTTTGCCGTAGGAACTAATTAGCACTCTGAAATCTGAAATGCTTAAATGCATGATTATTTGTATTATTCACATTTTTGCTCCTCCAGTAGTCTTCATGAAAGAAATTTTACTGTCATCACCAGCTGCCATGAAATAGGATTTACTGAACATGTTTCTGGGTTCACAGAGCTAAACCATTCCTTTAATTCATATAAAATAAACCATACTATTTGATATAAACTCTAGTCATTATTTAAATATCATTAGATTGTATGAGAAAGAGGAAATAATTTCAAGGCATAATTTAGGTAGCTTGTTAGAGTTATGAAGTGCTGTTGATGATACATTAAAGAAAGGTAATTAAAGGAATTGGTGAAGTACTAGATTTGAATGTTTAAATTCTCTATACAGTAAACTCATTTTTTGTTGTAATAAACTTTGTCACTGAAATGTACCACCTGGCTCAGTTATGTTATATATATGCTGTATACTTATCTACTATATGCATCTGCCTGTTACTTGAGTACATCGGAGAGCTAGAGAATAAGAGAGTATACTGGAAGAGAAACCTGGTCAGAACAGCTATGAGAGGGGTCTTCCTCACTGTAGTCACAGCTGTAAGGCTATTTCTGAAATAGAGGTTGGGACTGATTTGGAAGAGCACTGAACAAGTCGGGAACTTGCCTTGGATCAACTTTTAAGCAGCTCCTGTGACTCTGCTACACAGATAACCTCAGAGGTTAGAATAGCGTGCACAGAAGGTGAAGACAGCAAATCACTGCAGGATCAGCAAAATGGAGACGATAGGTGGTGGAGTTGCTGACAACAGAAGTCTTCAAAAACAGGTTAGATGATACGGGTCAGGTACATGAGTGCTATCGCAAACCCTGCCTTGTGACAGAGTATGCACTAGGTTACCTCTCAGGATCCCATAGTCCTCTTCTGATCCAGCAGTGTGTTTTTGTGGTAGTAGAATGACAGGCATGGGAACAGCCTGAATTTTCAGGAAAATGGCCACAGATTATTAATGTGTGCTTTTGGAGAAGTGTTTTTCTCCATATTTTACTCAAGTGTAAACTAACAGTTTTACATTTTAATAAATGAATAAAAGTTTTGGAGTCTTGGTGGTTTAGAGCTTGTAGTTACAATATTAGACAGGTTGCTCGAGGGTGCAGGGAGCATCATAGAGCACATGCTAGTACTGCTGATGGTATTTAAAACCATACAGACATAAAAAACCCCCAAAAGTTTCCACTTGCCTGGATGAGGTTGCTGTGGCTACCTGTATATAGAGTCAGTTTAGAGTCAACTTTTTTGGCCTTTCCAGGTGGTGGAGGTCAGTTTCAGTCAGATTGGTTGCAAGCAGACTGAGCACAGAGAGAAAAGTACACTGCTGGGCAAGGTACCTCATGACACCCACCACCATCACTCTTCAAGTCTCTTGGATGCAAGCAGAGATTCCTTGCGTGGGGTGAGGATTAGTCCATATGAAGTAGCAGGGGACCTGGATTTTAAGCTTCAGGGGGAAGGAAGTACAGCAGAAGGTGGGGAAGAAGAAGATGAAGGCACACTACTGCACATGGCCTGGCACGAAACCAAGAGCTGCTGTGGCTAACTGATATTGTAAGCTGCTGTTGGTAGTTACAGGTGGAACCGAGTAAAACCACCACTGAAGGTGGCTGAATTTCAGATCTTCTGTATACATTTTCAATAGCTGCTGCTGATGAGCCCATCTAACTATAAAAATAATCTAATATACAAAAATAATATAACATATAAAGAAGAGTATTACAGATGTTGAACAGGGCTGGCAAGACTGATGGAATCCTAACTTTAAAGCTGAACAAGTGAGGCAGTTTTTACAATGGTATTAAATAGGGTTTTGCATTGAATCCACTTTTTTCTAGAAGAGATTGTCTGACACGAATTATACCAAGTGAAATTTGAAGTTCACGCTCACAGATAGAATGGGTTTTTCTCCTTTTGCTGCTGATATTATTTAAAGGTCACTTTCTGAGACTAGGTTATCAGAGCCACAGCAGAGAAAAGCACAGAAACACAGCTTGATCTAGCTTGTGTGTAAAGAAATTGCAAAGTTTCCATTCCATTCCACTGAGGCTGAATTAAACCTTTCCTATTAAACAAAATTGATTTTTAGAACATAACAGCTATTAACAACCCTGACATTCTCAAGGATTTCTCTAACCTTTCTTCACTTTCAATGCCTGTGAGGGAATAGTCTCTTGGGAAAGAAAAATCCGTGTTTATCTCCAAATTTGCTTGCCTCTTGCTGTGAAATGTCTGTTACCAAACAGTTCCGGAGGCAGCATATCAGACCAAATAGACCCAGGAAAGGCTCTGTCATCCCATGAGCTCCCACTCTTAGCCTAAATTAAGAGGCGAGGAGTCACAGTAGATTTGTCACAAACCCTTCCTGGATCCCCGTGGAAGAAGAGTGATGTTGGTGTTGAAGCCTGCTCCATACATGCAAACTTAAGGGCTGTGGGCAGAACCCTGCCACGCAGAATAAGGATAGTCCAGGACAGCCCAGTCACTTGGAAGAGGCCAAATTAATACCGAGAAAAGTGGATATAGCTCACGATTTCTTTTCATGTTGCGTTATGCATTTTAAAGAGTTTTTTAATTTTGTTTTGGGGTTCGGGTTTTTTCTGTGCATTTCAGAGAAATCGTCCTAGCAGAAGTAGGAAAGTAACGGCCATGTTGCGACCGTGTAGATGAAACAGGACGCCGGGGAGCAGGGGTTGGGCCGTGGATTTAGCGAGGCTCCGGGGCTAACCTCCCGGCGGGGGCGTTTCCCTTCCCCCTCTTCCCCCCCGCCCGCCTTCCCCCGCTGGCGCTGGGGGGGGGGG